GCCTCCTGGAGATTTGATTTCTTATTAGAAAAATCCATTCTCCACATTTCTCCCACAGCAACATTCCAAACACTGATATGATTGTTACTTAGTTACACAAAACAATTCCTTTCTATTGCATTCAAAGTTCTCCACATATCAGCCTTGGTTTCCTGGCTGACTAGTTCATTGAGGTTAAGAGCCGGTCTGTTTGAAAACCTGTGATGGTGTGGGAATCTCCCTGTGTCTATCTTTGTTTTGTTAAGTTGAACCATTAACATCAACATGATGTTATGCAGCTGGAGGTATTTGGCCACATGCACTGTGTGTTGATTTTTTTTTCCCCCTTCAAACCAAACTCACTGCCATAGAGTGGATTCCTACTTATAGTGACCCTATAGGACAGAGTAGAACTGCCCCACAGGGTTTCCAAGGCTGTAAGTCTTTAGGGAAGTAGACTGGCTCATCTTTTTCCCGCGGAGCAGCTGGTTGGTTCCAATTGCTGATCATTTGGTTAGCAACTGAATGCCATTAACCACTTTACCCAGACACAGGCTCCCAGCTCGCCTCAGGGCAGCGTCACCATCTTTTTGGCAGCCAGTTGCCAGATAGAAGGCAGACTACCGAATATTAAACAGCGTCAGTGAACTGGTTTTGCAGTGCTTTTTTCAGTTTTATGATCTGACCCAAAAATTGCACGGGATTTGCAGTTAGAAAAACACAACTCCCCCATTCCCCCAAAGCAAGCCTGTATTTTGCCACTCATAGCCTCAGAATTAACATTAAAAAAATTGCATTAATACAAATCTGGAAGAGAACTGCTTCCACCATGTATGCATACAGACAGACCCAAAACACTAATAAGCAAAAAAAAACCAGAGGCACAAAACGTTCGTGGTGTACGCGAGCCCCCTGTCAAATCTCGCGAGGTAACAATACCAGGGCCTTCTTCCCTCTCCCTCACGCGAGACTCATTCAAGTTCACGCTTGGTGGAGGCTGCGGCGCTGTTTCCAGGGACAACAGCAATGGCGGCGCCACTGCCAGAGCGGCTGTTCTCGCTGGAGCTGCTCGTAGACTGGGTGCGCCTTGAAGCCGGGGTGCTGCCGTCGCCCGCAGTTGCAGTGGAGGAGGAAGAGGAGGTTTCGCCGCCTCCTCCAGCGGGTTCCCTCTGCCCCGCGGTGGCCTTCCGCTTGCTGGATTTCCCAACGTTGCTGGTTTACCCTCCTGCCGGCCCCGCGGCGGAATCCCGGCCCGGTATGGTCAGCTTCGGTCGCGGCAAGTCTTGTCTCTTCCGCCTGTATCCTGCCACTCTGCACCGCTTGCTCCTTCGGACCCCGCTTTATGCGCTACTCCTGCAGCTGACCCCCGGTTACCCTACGCCCGCCCCGCAGCTCCTGGGTAGCTGTGGCATCTTGCTGGCAGACGCAGCCCAAAAGGTTCTGGGCTCGGCTGCGTCCACCTGCTCCCAGGGTCATCGAGGAAGCTACCCCTTGCGCAACTTACTAGGGGAGCGGATTGGGGACATTGCGCTGCGCTACTGCCTGACAGACCTGGGGAGGTGCTCTCTGGGTCATTTTGAGCGACCTGTCACCTGTACTGGAGGTAGACTGGAAAGGGTAGAGGGTCAGAGAGCAGGCAAAGTTAGTTCCCAGACACTGCAGGAAAAACAACAGTTTATGCATCAGACTTCAGAGCCAAACTCAGTAGTTGATGATAGGCACCTGGTGGATTTAAAAATCACAGAGGCACAGAAGGATTTAAAGGAAATAATTTTTCACAGTGATGCCAGCTCTGATACCACAGGTGTGAAAAGGGGCAAAATCAACTCTGTTATTTGTGCAAATGCTAGCAGTAGATGTAATAGCCCCCTAAACCAAGAAGAGTTGGACATTGAAACCAATACCTTTTGCCCTCCTCCTCTGTATTACACTCATTTGACTCAAGAAAAGCCTCCTGCATTGGGTAAAATCACATTTGTGCCACAAGTTAATGTGCATGAAGAACTGGATGGTATTTTTCAGGAAGGAAAATGTGTAAACCCCCCAACACACACCAATCATCTAAAATATGTAAATACCACAACAAATGAAAGCCCTTCAGTGCTTAAGAGTCCTCCAACATATATTCAGGATATAGGAGCAAGTAATCAAACTACATGTCACCCTCAAACTGAACAAAATAGAACTAATACTATAAGGCAGCTTCCTTTGTTAAATGCTTTGTTAGTTGAGTTGTCCTTGTTATGCAACCAACCCATGTCAAGCCCTACTTATGTACATCCTCATCTAGCCAGGTTATCTAGAACTGAAGATAAGAAGGCTCCAAACTCTTCTTCCAAATTAACACGTAAATCTGAATCTAAGAAGGAAAAACCGTGTATAGAGGAAAAGTCAGTAAGTCTTCAATATGTTGAAAATCTCAAGAAAGGTATGTATTTTGAAAAGAACAGTGATGTTCTCCCAAAACGAGTTCCAAGGAGGAGGCTGCTTTATGGCATAACAAATACACTAAAACTACGTTTAAAGCAAACAAATCCTGATATGTTGGCAGTACATGAAAAAAGAGAAAAGTATAGAAAAATGCAAGCACAAATGTTGGGTGCAAAACTGAGAATCCAATCATCCAAAAGAAAAGTATTAAGCTTTACAGAACAACTTCAGAAGCGACATCAACTACTTGAAGAGAAGTGTTTAGATTCAGATGTTTCTTTTGCTGAAAATAGTGATACTTCAAGGCAAATTAGTGAAGTTTTTGATGACCTTAGCACAACTAAAGTAATTAAACTGAAATGTGCAACTGAAACAGTTGATTACAATGAAAATAGAATCAATAGTTGTTCAGTAGAAGACATAAGTGCTGCAAAATCCATTATTTCAGAAGAATTTACTCATGCAAACACTTTAGAAGGAAAAGTGGAAACAGTCCAAAGTCCATGTGTTTTCAAACAGGATGCAATTATGGACAGAATTACAGTAGGTACAGAAAAAGCTAATAGGCAGGTCAAAACCACAGATAATGACATTCTTACTGATGATATAAGTGAAAATAGTTGCTCTGAAAGCATCTCAGAACTAAAGTACTCAGATGATTTTACTAGCCTTTGTTATTCTGAAGATATCTGTACCAATCAGGACACCAGCAAAAGTATACAAGCTCATGATAGCAGCCCAGAAAATCCAAAATGTCAACATACAAGTAAGTCTTGTGAAGCAGTATCGTACATAAGGAAATATAGCAATGAGAAAAGTTCTATTCTTAGCCCACCTTTTTCAGCTGGATCACCAGTGCACTCATATAAAACATCTCATACTTCAAAGATTCAGGAGAAAAGTTATGAAGAAGCATCTAGTATCTCTACTAGTGACTTATCTTCATCACACTGGACTGAGGAGAAAGAAAAACAGATAGACCAAAATAGTATGTGTGGTTCTAAAGTTAAAAAGGGAAGTCAAGACTTTTCTATTAAAACAAAATCTGGTCGCAAGTCATTAGAAAAAAGTCAGTCACTAAGGACATCTCAAGTGAGTTCTTACCTGCCATCTAATTTGTCAGAATTAGAACATAATGCCCTGGATAGCAGTACATCAGATCAGTTTGAAGAAGACAGCGGCAAAGTTGGTTCACTAAATATTTCTAAGCAATGCAAAGATATTTGTGAATTAATAATAAATAAACTTCCAGGATATACAGTGTAAAAATAATGTGTTTTTAGAAACCATGAACATTTTTTTACAACATGTATACTGCTAATGAAAAAAGTCAATAACTTTTCATATTATTTTAATACTTAAAAGTATGTGAATAATTCTTTTCAAGAAATAGAAATAAGTTTATTTGATGTTTAAATAGTATTCTACCAATAAACCTGATAATATTGAACATGGAATCATTTTATAACCTAGCTAAGAGTTCTTTTTAAATTGTTTTATAAGAATTAAAGTATCTTGTCTCACTAAAGTATCTATCTTTCTAAAGCGCACTTCATATTATCAAATTCTACTGCTGTCAAGTCAGTTCTGACTCATGGTGACACCACTGAAAAAAGGCTAGTTAATAAGAGTAGTTTCAACTTATAATACGAATAGATCATTTAACTAATAGCCTTTCTGTGAGAAGTGCAAAAAGGTACAGAAGTACTTAAGACATAGTCCCTGCTGTTATACGAGCTTACGGTTTAATATAGATACTGATTGTTAAGGTTTTGAATCACTATGTAGAACTTGTATTTTCACATATATAATCCATGTTCCCAATAGGTGCAGTCCCTCTCTGGTCATAGAGCTCTATATCTTTCTTGCAAGTTGGTATAATTACTTGAATAATGTTTATCTTCCACTAAGATTTTAGGTTCTGTAATAAAAGGAACCATATCTGTTTTATACAAACAGTAAGTTCTTAGTACTCAGCACAGTCTCTGGCACGTGGCTGGGGTGCAATAAAAATATTGAACAAATGAATGAAGGCCAGGCATTTAAAATACCTAAGGGGAAGGAATGGAATTAAGCAATAGAAGCAAGCAAAACTAAAAGTAAGCCTACAGAAAATCCTTTTTGGAGATAGGTTTATTTGACTAATACCCTTTGTTTTCTTGGGTATAAACAGTCTTCAGGTAGTCTATGAATACTTGAAGAGAGGAATTTTTAAAAGATGTCTTTCTATGCAGTTTCTTAATACAAATTGAGTTTATTATTTGTCATTTAAGTTGTCTAATAGTTTTTTTTTCTTAATGCGTAAGTTTATTTGTATGAAATCTAATGACCTAATCCTTATAAACTCTTCCATTGCTTTTATGTTTAAACCTTGTTCTCTGTTCAAATATTTATATATGCTTTATTTTAGCTGTTATACTTTAATTTTTACAGTTTTTAATGTATCTCTTATATATATGGATATATAGGAGCTCTGGTGGCACGGTGCCTGAGGCATTTGACTGCTAACCAGAAGGGTGGTGGTTCAAACCCACTAGCCACAGAAGGAAGATGGGGTAATCTACTTCCCTAAAGACTTGCCACTTTGAAAGCCCAGTGGGTGTTGCTCTGCGTCGGAATCGACTTAATGGCAGTGAGTTTGGTTTTGGTTTTTATTTGGATCTATGAGTCCCTAATTTTGATTTACTTACAAGTAATTATGTATACAGACATTATGGTTAGAATAATGAATAGGATTTAGATAGATGATGAGAAGAGGATGTTATGTTTGGGGAACAAGCCTATTGAACTATGTGCTTTAAATTGCAAAACTGAATAGCTGAATAAGCTTTTTTTTTGAATACCTATTTCTGAATTAGGGTGTTGATTTTCCTAGTTTAATTTTGTAGCAATACCTATTTTCATGTGTTTTGTACTTACTTGTATCTATCTTCAGGAAGATAGAGAAGAGGATGTTAGATTTGGGGAACAATGAATAAAAGAATGATGGTGGGAATGAGCATAATATATATGGGACACTGAGAATGCTGGGTTCATACTACAGAGTGATAGAAAAAAAACTTATTGAGTAAGGAAAACCCCAGGTTGTAGAGACACTTGAATGAATAATAAATAATCATAAAGTCCTAAGCAATAGGACCAATAAATTATTTTAAATTATAAATGAACACCAGAAAGTAATCATTATGACATTTTTAATATTTAAATTATCAAAAATAATTATTTTGTTCTGTTGTGAATGGGTCACCTTAAGTTGGAGGCTGACTTGTCCGCAGCTGACAACAACTGTAGGTAGATAGTCAAATGACTTCAACTTAGTGTAGATATTTTTAATAACAGTTTTTCATTGGAAAAGACAATTACAAACAATAATTTCAGATCATCAAAGAAATAATTACTTAAAACCAACTGTTGTTATTTATTTGGTTGGCGGTACTATGTCACTGTGATAAGAATAGATGAGGAAAATGGTGAGTTCAGTGTGTTTAAGGTACTTACCGAAAAGCCTATTGAGCTATGTGCTTCAAATTGTAAAACTGAATAGCTGAATATGCTTTTTTTTTTGAGTACCTATTTCTAAAATAGGGTGTTGATTTTCCTAGTTTAATTTTGTAGCAATACCTACTTTCATGTGTTTTGTACTTATTTTGTATTCTATCTTCAAATTCTATTTCATGTTTTAATTCTACAACTTACTTAGAATGTTAGAATTCTATAATAAACTTAGATTTTTAAGAATTTCACGATAGATACAAATACTGAAGCCTTATTTATTTCCTTGTTGTATAAAGTAACTGAATCATGACATAGTATTTCAAGATCATCAATAAGGGAGACCCATCATTTACTTGTAAAACTAAGCTACTGCAATCCAGCTTTTCCTGAACATCGTAAGTATCTAAACTACTATAGGTAAGATTGAATGGATGAGAGTTTAAGAAGCAAAATGAGCCACAGAAATAATTTTAGGACCTCTCTGCAGCTTAGGAGGCAGCTGTCAAAAATGACAAGTCCTTTGAAATTTTGCCAGATCTCAATATGACTGTACAGATGCATGCAATATGCTCTTTCTCCAATTGTGTGCATGCTATTGATGACATTTTTAAATACAAAGAACAATGGTATTGAACTTCTGTCATACACTTGTGGCTTTCTTTTGTGAGCCACCCCTTCACATCTCAATTAATTTGTATTTTTCTTCCTATACAAGCAGTGAATTTATTATGACTTTATAATTAGGAACCAAACTCTTATATGTAGCAAATATATAGGCCAGAAACCGTAAGTTTACCAACCACCATTTCAATTACCACATTGTGTTGTTGCCAAGTTAAAAAAAAAAAAAAAAAAATTCTTAACAAAGAAAGAACATACAATTAAAATAGATAATATTTACATTTATTGAGTCATAAACTATCCTTGGGCCTATAGAAATAGCCATCCTTCAGGTTATTCGTGATTTAATTTCTATTAAAATACTTACTGAGAATGACAATATATGGACTAGCTGGATCCTTCTTCACATTTTTAACCTGAAACAATACAAGGAAAACTTACTTGGGTCAAGGATGACGGCATTCTTACTGATTTTACCTAGAGATCTTCTTGTCATACTAGGAAATGACAGATTTTAAGATAGGCTTGCCAAGTCATAAAACGATTGTGGTAGAAATGTATCCTTATTTTTGAGGCACTTTTTAAAATTCTTAGTTATAATAATGTTGTAGATAGGTGCCATAGAGTTGGTTCTGACTCATAGTTACCCTATTTACAATAGGACTAAACACTGCCCAGTCTGTGACCCCCTCACAGGCATTGTTATGCTTGTTGGAATTACTGGATCAATCCATCTCATTGTGGGTATTCCTCTTTTTGGCTGACCCTCTACTTTACCAAGCATGATGTCCTCCAGGGATTGGTCCCTTCTGATAACATGCCCAAAGTACATGAGACAGAGTCTTTCCATCTTCACTTCTAAGGAGCATTCTGTTGTATTTCTTTTAAGACAGATTTGGCCATTCTTCTGGTGGTGTATAGTATACTCAGTACTCTATGCCAACACCATAATTCAAAGACATCAATTTTTCTTTGGTCTTCTTTATTCATTGTCCAGCTTTTGTATGCATATGAGGCAGTTGAAAATATCATGGCTTGGCTCAGGTACACCTTAGCACTAACAGTGGCATCTTTGTATTTTAACACTTCAAAGAGACCTTTTACAGCTGATTTGCCCAATCCAGTACATCATTTGGTTACTTGACTGCTGCTTCTATGGGTGATGATTGTGGATCCAAGTAAAATGAGATCCTTGACAACTTCAATCTTTTCTCTATTTATCACAATATTGCTTAATGGTCTAGTTGTTAGTATTTTTGTTTTATGTTGAGATGTAGTCCTTAATGAAGGATGTAGTCTTTAATCTTCATCAATAAGTGCTTTAAGTCCTGTAGAAAAAGTTGAAAATTCAAATAAAAACTTACTTCAAAGTCAGGTACTAAAGAAAGGTTATGTTCCTTTCCTTCCCAAATCCCTCTAAAATGGCAAGAGAGATTTAAAGTAAGAATAAACTTATAGTAGCTGTGCAAAACAGGGAAAGTGCTGGTGGTAGATGAGAGAGTTTGAAGAACTTCTGGGTAATACAAAGTAGTTGGGATTAGGTTGAAAAATAGATAAGATGTACACTAAGACAGCCCATGAGGGTCCTGCTGGAGAAATGAAAAGGTAGTGTTTTCTAACAGAGTCCCACAAACCTTTATGTTCAATCAGTAGGACTTGGAAGTAGGAGTAACAATCTAACAAAAAGTTTACTTCTGTTCTGTCAATCCTGACTCATAACAACTTAGACAGAGGAGAACTGCACCAGAGGGTTTCCAAAGCTGAAATCTTTATGGGAGTAGATAGAAGCAGGCCCTTGACTACAGTGGAGAACTAGATCTGGCCTAGAGATTTATCTACTAGAAAAGGTTGGAATTAAGAAGAAAAACTATTTTTGCTTTGGACATGAAAACATATGGAGATCATTAATCCTAATAGTAAATTAAAGTGTAGTATAAGTGTGAGAAACCTGTACTTGTAAGCTTTACGATATAGAATTCTATAAGTTGTCCTTTTTGTTTTCACCTTAGTTTTAATGCAGTTATTTTTAAAGAACCTTCTAATTGATCTATAAGAGCAATAGGAAAGGGATTTGGTTGTGATTCATAACTGAACTGAAATCCTAGAAGAGGAGCACCATACCACAAGGATCTGTATATTGATGAGAGCCA